ACCGTAGTCCCCTGCTCTGCAAATTCTGTTTTCTGACAAAGAAGTTGAGTGCTATGGTTCGTCTGGTAGTAAATATTGTCTATACATGTATTGTATCCATTGAGCTCCGTGATGTAGTTAAAGTTTGTGATGTTTTGAATTGAATGTGATGCAACTAGCATCTATCATCTTCCACAAGCCTTCATTACTATCCTTTAAAGGAATAGAATGGCCACATTTTGATATATGTGATTTTACTCTCTCCTTTTCCTTTTTTAAAATCGGCTCTGATTGTCTTTTAATTTGTTGTTATATGCAGATTCCTTTTCAGAGAACTTGAGTCGATAGTATCATTTTGGATATAAATGTATAATTACTTTATAACAGTAAGTATTTTGGTTTCTTCATAGCTAGTCAATTTCTATATGTTTCATGTGAATTTTCCTCTGCTCCTTAGCAGTGTTAAAGAATTCAAATAAATCTGAGTTGTATTCTTGCACATTTTGGAATTATAGGCAAACCTTATACAGAATAAAATTTAGAACGTAAAGAAATATATATAGGTGCCATCTATTTCACCTGTTTAACTTACATATTACATGATATTGGCTAATTAGGTAGGCCAATCCAATTATGAACACAAAGCACGTCAAGATATGGAGGCTTTGATGTGTCACCCTAAACTCAAACTTCAGCAAAAGCACTTGCCATCAATGTCCGAGATGAAGATAATACTCAACTATTCTAGTCCTTGTCCTTCACGGCTACTCACATCATGCCACATACTACCTCCGGTCTTTAATATAAGACTCAGTTTGACTTTTATTTTGATTTTAAATATAAGACCCCAATCTACTTTGTTTATCATATTTATACTTTTTTTTTCAAAGTAGCCTTTCTAACAATGATAGTTCTAAGCAATACACTTGATTAGCAAGGATATTTTAGAAAAGACAATACCTATTCAGGACAAATAACTAACTCAACTTATTTCTTTAATCTCTTCAACTTAGTCAACTAACTCTTATAATTAGGACCGGAGGTAGTATAATTTAGGTATCTGAGTATACATGTATACACACAGAGAGCAACTTTCATGAAAACCTCTGCTATATCATGATTACTACATAATAAGCAATTATTTACAAATGATGGTAGGATAAAAAAACTAGGACTGAATTCATTAGCGGGTAAAGCCAAGGCAAGAGGCATAATTATTTGTGCTGGAGGATCATTAATTATTAGCCTTTACACTAGAAAATTTTATATTGGTCACCATAGTCATCATTCCTCTCGCATTGCTTTAGTAGAACCATCCAAGATTCACATGCTTTGAGACACGCTCTTTCTAATTGCTAGCTACTTCTCATATACAAGATGGTTCATTATCTAATTAAGCTTGGAAATCTTAGTTCGTATAAGTTCAAAAATCTTGGATAATAAACCATCCTGTATATGAGAAGCAACTAGCAATTAAAAAGAACGTGCCTGAAATCATGTGAGTCTTGAGTGGTTCTTCTAAAGCAGTATGAGAAGAATGATGACTATGGTGACCAATGTAAAATTCCTTTATCAGACAAGGCTAGTGGTTAATGCTCCTCCAGCACAAATAAATGTGCCCATTGCCTTGGCTTTACCTCCCCATGTTTTTAGTCCTAGTTTCTCCATCCTATAATTATTTGTAAATAAATGCTTCTTAGAGTTTTTCATGAAAGTTACTCTTTTTTTGTATACATATATGCTCAGATATCTGAATATGTGATGAAGATTAGGAAACTGGACATGGGAACCAACTTGAGAAAGTTGTTTATTGAAGTGTTTCGTAGATCATTCTGGAAGAACATTGTTACTATTGTCCTAAAATTAGCTACCGTAAATTTGTGAATTGGGACTTCAATTTGTTGCTTATGTTATAAGGGGCGGATAATCGGATTTCCATTATATTTGGATCTCGATGGCCCATCACTGTGCCTGTGAGATCCTCTTTCACTCTAAACCAATTCACTAGCCCAAGAACACAAGTTAAGAAGTATTTATACCTTTGTACTTCCACTCTCTTGAGGAATGTATGACTTATGTTTATTTTGACACACCAACACATATACCCCAGCTCCAACAAGGAACACAAACTTCATGGACGATGGTCACACTTTAACATCGCCTTACTAACTAAGCAATGAGAGAAAAACAGGTCAACCTCAAGTTCATGAGAAACAAAGGGGAAAAAAGAAGACAAGAAGCAGAAATAGCAAAGGCACTTTAATACGTCATTTTAAAAGATTACCCAAGAAGGTAAAAATAAATAATAAAATATTTTGTATAGTCACCAAACAATTAAAATAAATAAGTCATTATTCTTACAGGGGATATAAAACGATGTAACCGTCATTACCTTCATTTTTCTTGCTTAGGTTTTGGTTCTGCTTTATCTGCAATATCACAGGTAGGAAACTATTACAGTGTGGGAATAACAAGAATGATATGTAATTGTCAGCCACTTGGATAATATATGCCAAACTTGCTGGTTATGTTTTTGATTGCAGACTTTAAAAAGTCATTAAATCTGATTTTCTCAAGTAATAACATTGGTTTTGTCCCGTTTCAAATTCAAAAACTAGAGATAAAAGTGATGTATTTATAGAGATCAAGGATGGAACTTCCGAAAAATTGTTTTCATATGCAACAAAAAGCATTTTTGCTGGAATTTGAAACGAAGTAATTGAGAAGTTAAATTAATTTACAATAATTTTTGAACAATTGATGGACGCATGGAAAGAATCCTTACAAAGAGCATCCCAACTTTTCACAGGGATCAAAAGTAACAGTAAAAATTTAAAATTATCATCAAATCGATCAAACACCAAGTTTACTTTTCATTTCTCAATGTGAATGCGAAATAGAACTAACAAACCATTCAATATCAAAACTGTATGTATGGACTTTGCATGGAAGCGTGTGAAGCAGGAAAAATGATTTAATTTAAAATTGTTGGATATAATTATATTATATCCAAAACAATAAAGCAAAAAAAAAAAAGTCCTGCTAAACCATTGCCCAAAACAGACACTAACTAAAAGCATAATGATTTTGGAAAACACCGCGATGGGTGTGAAAGCATCTTTCATGTGCCCAAATCGTCAAAAGCAACACACTCCTCCAACACCAATACCATAAATTAATGAACTAATTTAATTTTAATTATTTTTTGATAGTGACAGTGAAACAGGGAAGCATTTTTATGTACTCAAATTGTCAAAAAAAGCAGACCATCTTCTGAAAAAGTTATTTTTAAGTAATATTATCAACTTTTAAAAGTTAAAAGTATGCCGTCTCGTCTTTATGCAAGTAGGTCCTGTTTCTTGTCAACATATATAAAAGAATTAATGCGTCCCCCATCTCTGTATCAAATATATATATATATATATATATAGATATATGTACGTAAGGGTCAATTATATATAAAACGAAGAATATTATACAACTTTAAGCTCGTATAATGCAGTCCAGGGAATAACCAATTAATAAAACGTTAGTTATCTAGAAAGAATGACTGGAAAAAGATTGAAATATTTATTGAAAAGATGTCATTTTCTAACGTGTCACTGAACTTTGAACAGATGAGGAGATTATTGAACAAATTCTTTCTTGCATGTGATTCAAGGATAGTGTTGAGGCAACTTAAATAACCCAATGTAATATGAATCTCTAACAGAACATGCGAAGAAGATGATTATCAAAAAATTGCAGTTTCACTTATGGTCAAAGTAATCGATTTTTGCAACACAAATATTATACCATCTAACCTTAATAATGGGGGCAATTTAGGAACATTGATTTAATTGTGTACAGAGAATGGTGATTTTGATTATAAAACAGCGCAAAAAATCTGTTAATTTTTCGTAATAATACAGGACAGATGGAGTACTTTTTATTATTTTACGTAAACTAAAAGAATTTTTTTAACATTAATAAAATAAATGGGTAGTTATTTTTAATTTGTATCAAATCACAGGTACCGAGTAGCGACATTTTAATATGGCCTACATACTTAGGACGCGAACATAAAATCTCTGGACTACCAGCCAGAGAAGATGACATTTGACTATAAAGCAATCAAGTCAACAAATCAAAACGCGCATAAGCCAATTTGTCACCTTAAATTATTGAACTTGCTTTTTAATAACGAAGACTCCTCGTATTGATAAGGAAGTTTCCCAGAAACCACCTTCTTCGCTTAGAAACTGCATTGCTGTCTACTCAGACATCACTTTTGCTCCTAGTTTGCCAGAAATAAGGTCTGATTTATCCAGGTATGATGATCTTCTTCCTCATCTGTAAAATGTATATATTCGAACTATTCATGCATCTGTACATACGTATCAGGAAGAGCCATAATGTTCCTAATGAGTTCCTTATGATTGTGTTCTTGGTTCTCGCTCTGTTTCACCATCGTCCATTTCCACTTGTTCGAATTTTATGATGAAGTAGGATCTACATCATATTAAATTTTAAATAAAAGTTTCTGTGGGATAGTCAATCTCAATCATATATTCTGAATTTCTCTCTTATCCAATTAACCTTGATAAAATAGTCTCAATGATAACGGGGACGCCAATATCTGGATTTTAGATCTTGTTCCTTGAAATCTGATCCACTTGTTTTAGGTTTAGCTACCAAGTCCTTCAAGCCATTTCAGATTATAATTAGTATTGGTACTTCTTAGATGCTCAACTATTGTTTGTCAGAGGAGAACTTTGAACTTTTCTCCTCCTAGTTACTTACCTTTATTTCATTTATTTCCTGTTTATTGGTCTGAATTATAATTGTTAATGAGCTATCCTATTCTTCTCGCGTTGACATCGCCATGCTAGATAGAAATTAAATTCACATGGGAGTAGACCTATAATATTTGAGCAGTTATATTTTTATTAGAATGTTATAAACGGGAGCTTGAGGGGAAAGATTAGCATCAAATTTATTAGGAATAATTAACACCCTTTGGTTTTTGTCTATATCCAGTAATGGCGACTTTTACGACTTCTCCCAGCGTTCCGCAGGAAAAGCATGATGTTTTTGTCAGCTTTAGAGGTCCAGACACCAGACGTGGATTTCTTAGCCATTTGAGAAAGCAGTTTCAACAAAAGGGGATAAAGGTTTATGTTGATGAGACGGCAGAGAGAGGAGATACAATATCACCTGCACTTTCAGAAGCAATAGAAAGATCAAGAATTGCGCTGGTGATATTCTCTGAAAACTATGCTTCTTCAAGGTGGTGCTTAGAAGAGCTAGTGAAAATCATGCAATGCAGGCAAGACCATAGTCAGATTGTAATTCCAGTTTTCTATGATATAGACCCATCAAATGTTAGGCGTCAAAAAGGATCGTATGAAGGTGCATTTGTTCAGCATCGTAACTGCAGAGTTGATTCAAGGAAGTTGCAAGATTGGAGATCGGTCTTAAAAGAAACTGCAGACATATTTGGTTATCATAATTCCTCAAATTTTCGGTAAGATGTTTTCCTCTTTCTACTAATTATTAGACAAATCTTGTCACAATTTATGTATTGTAAATTTTTCCCATGAACAGTTAAAAATAATTATATCTATGCTTATATTATTGATAATTAAATCTATGCATTTATGATTTTTAACAATGTACCGTTTGATTTTTTTTTTTTTGAAAAAACAACTTCTTTCTTTTAACATGTCAGGGATGAAGCTGACCTTATTGATGAAATAATCAAAGATGCATGCAAAAAGCTAGAAGGTAAAGGTAAAGACACAGTGGAGCCAAAGGACCATATTGGAATTGAGAAAAATTTGACTCCTATTGAATTATTTATGGAAGATGAATCACATGAAGTTAGAGTTTTTGGAATTTGGGGTAAAGGAGGAATAGGCAAAACCACCTTAGCTCATGCCACATTTGGTAACTTTTACCACCAATTTGATAGGTCTTACTTTGCTGAAAATGTGAGAGAGAAATCAAAAAAGATTGGAATGGATTGTTTGCTTGAAGAAATTCTCTCTGTTCTACTAGATGAAGAAAAGCCCCGAATGGTTGGAAAGCCTAATATTCAAAGGAGGCTACGTAGAACAAGAGTTCTTCTAGTTCTTGATGATGTAGACACCTCCAGTCAATTACAATATCTTATTGATGAAAATCTTTCATTGGGACCAAGTAGCAAAGTCATCATAACAAGTAGAGACAGGCATGTTCTTATTAGTGGAGGAGTTCATGAAGTACATGAGGTGAAAGAATTAGGCAAGGAAGAATCGCTTCAACTTTTCTGCCGACATGCTTTCAAGCAAGGCCATCCGAAACAAGGATATGAAAAGTTATCAATGCAGGTAATTGAATATGCAAAAGGTCTTCCTCTGGCATTAAGAGTTTTGGGTCGACATCTCAACACAAAAAAACCAGAAGTATGGGAGTGTGGCCTTAAAAAATTGAGAAAGCATCCAAATAATGAAATTCAACCTATATTGAGGGTGAGCTATGATGCGCTTGATATACCAGAAAAGAGGATATTTTTAAGTTTTGCATTATTCTTGAGGGGAGAAAAGAAAAAATGTTATGAGGGTGCTAGATGCTTGGGATGATGACCTTTACGTGGTTTGTGGAATAGATAGGCTTGTAGATAAAGCACTCATAACTATTTCAAGAGATGATAGAGTGGAAATTCATGATCTACTGCAAGAAATGGCTAAAGAAATAGTTCGTGAGGAATCTAGAGAGCACCCTGAAAGTCGAAGTCGATTACATGATGCCGAAGAAGTTCGAGATGTATTGGAAAATAACAAGGTAAATGAAGGATGTTTTAACTTCATTGTTCATTTATTAAATTATTTCATTGAAGAATTTTTACACACCACTTGTTTAATATATTATTTGAATTTTGTTATGTCCTAGGGAACTAATGCAATTGAAGGTATCGCGTTGAACCCAGAAGAGTTAGAAAGCGACATACATTTGAGTGCTGAGGCTTTCAAAAAAATGAGTAATTTAAGATTTCTCAAGATTTATTCTAGTTTTAACCAATCAGTGAAACTTCCTTTTGGTCTGGAGTCGCTCCCTAATAAACTAAGATATTTTTATTGGGACCGTTATCCTTTGAAGACTCTGCCACTGGGTTTTTGTACAGACAAACTTGTTGAAATCCATATGCCTGTTAACCGAGTCATAAAACTATGGGATGGTGTGCAGGTATGGCTATATATTAATGCATGTTTCATTCTTAGTCTAATTGAATTATGAGGGTTTTTTTCGGTTACTTTTTTCTTTTAATTGTCACAGGATCTCATGAATTTGAAGATAATAAGTCTTGTCCTTTCGGTGAACTTAAAGGAGTTGCCTGACTTCTCCGGGGCACAAAATCTTGAAATGATGGACCTCGAATTTTGTCAAAGTTTATGCAGTATTCATCCATCAATCTTCTCTCTTCCTAAACTTGTTTCTTTGAATCTAATGGGGTGCTACAAACTAAAGAATCTTCACACGGATAACCATTTGAAATCTCTCAAGGAACTCCAGCTGACATGCTGCTTTGCTCTTGAGGAATTTTTGTTGTCATCAGAAGAAATGAGAAGTTTACATTTGGCATCTACAGGTATCAAAACATTAAACTTGCCAGTTGGACGGTTCAATAAACTTGAAGAGCTATATCTTGGTGGGCATCTCAGGAGCTTTCAAGTAAATGAGCTAAGTTGCTTAACATCTCTTAAAATATTCTCTCTTGATCGTCTTAGAGGAAGAATAGGCAAATCAAAATTAGTCATTCTGTTTGATGCCTGGTGCTCGTTAGAAGAATTGACGTTGAGATACTGTGGGGTTTCTGAGATCCCTGACAATATCAATGCCATGTCATTATTGAAGATTCTATCACTACGAGGAAGTAGCGTTGAGAGTTTGCCAGATAGCATCAAGCATCTTTCAGGGCTCAGAGAAATTGATTTGGGTCAATGCAAGAGGCTTAGGTCCTTACCAGAACTTCCACCTTCCCTTGCTTATTGTTATCTCGACGAATGCCAATCACTGGAGACCTTCGATTTCCCACTGATGCGAGCAATACATAACTTTAGCGAGGTTAGAGTTTGTTATCCCGGAAGCACAATCCCAGGGGGCTTCAAATATTCTCTGACTACTGCTAAGAGTTCTATTAGTATTGAGCTTGCACCAGCTTCTTCTGACCATTTATTGGGTTTTGCTTCTTATTGTATTCTTTCCACACTGTGTCCCAAATATTTCCTAGGATTCAACGGCAAATTCCACTTTGAAGATGAAAAGATCTATTGGGATGACAACAAATTCAATCGCTTTGAGCAGCTGAGTACAGATCATGTTTTCTTACGGTATGATCCAATGGATCACATGGTGAAGGAAAACCAAAGAAGGCGATTTGATGAGAATGCCACTTGCAAGTTTAGATGTAAATTTAATGCAGATTGCTTTTATCCTTCGCTCAAATATGATCCCGACATAAAAGGGTGCGGAATTTGGCCAATATATGCATCAGAAATACAAGAAAAAATGGAATTAAGACTGGAGACGAATGCTGTTACAGGCAGTACCAGGCAGTACCTTAATGTTGAGTACTCGTGTGCGCCAGAGGACAGGGAACTTGACCACGATGCCTTACTCTTTGAGAACCAAGAGAGGCCGAAATGAGCGCACGGCCCCGAAGGATAACAAAAGAATTGCTTGACGATGCAATTCCAAGTCCAACAATTTTTTTTAATTCTTTATAGCCTCCAACTATGTATGAAAAGAATTCTTTATTCTCAAAGTGACTGGTCTTTGGGTCTCATGCCCAGCATCCATTAAAATAATAAATAAAACATTAGAAAAATCTCCCAACTAAGCTACTACATATATATATGCAACTGTCTATAATTTCTATCCACAGGCACGTGCAACCAAACGTTGTAGAGATAATGGATTCACTGATTCTTAATTCCCTAGTATGCCTTAGTCCCCTGCTCTCCAAATTCTGGTTTCTTACCAAGAAGTTGATGCTATGGCTCGATTGGTAGTAAATATTGTGTATACATGTAGATATTAACAATGTATAACAGTGAGTATTTTGGTCTTCTTCATTGCTGGTCAATTTCCAAGGCCCATGTGATTTTTTGCTCTGCTCTTTACTAATGTTAACGATATCATATAAGTTCGAATTGCATTCATGCACATCTTGGAATTAGAGACAAACCTTGTACAGAATAAAACCTAGAATGGAAAGAAACATAGAAGCCTGATATTATACATTTCACCTGTTTAACTTTGCATATTGTGGGCCAATCCAATTATGAACAGAGCATGTGAAGCCTGTTTTTCCTCACCGACAGGTCTCGGAGGATCCAGGCGTGCGACGTGAATGTAACCATCATCGCCTTCATTACTAGTTGGTCATCAAATGAAGAGCTCTGAATCATTTGAGTTGTTAATTAACGTGTTGTTTCTTGTCTTTTTCCTGGTGATTTGCTTCTGGTTTAGCTGCAATACCACAGGTGGAAAATATGGCAGTGTGAGAATGACAAGAATGATATGTGATTGTGAACCATTTGGATAATACGCAAAACTTGGTAATGAATTCCTTGTTATATGATGATTGAATAAAGTCTCTGTTTTTCCTATAAACAGAACCAACCACCATCACTGATTTTCTCTAGTAACATTGGTTTTGTCTCGTTTCAAATACAAAAGTTAGACATAAAAAAGTGATGTATTTATATATAGAGATCAAGGAAAGCCTATGAAGCTAGTACTGTATCGCCATTATACTTCCAAAAAATTGTTTTCATATGTTTATTGATCGTTGATTTTACCTATTTCTTTGTTTATGGGCTTCGTTTAAGCAATGTTTTAAAAGCCAGACCGGAAGTCGAACCGGAAAGATCAACAGGTCATGGTTCAATCGGTCGGATCGGTCAGACCGTTTGGTCAGACCGGTGACGCAATAATTAATTTAAAATAATATTATATACATATAATTAATATATATGAAAAATATCAAATTATTAAATAATTTAGAAATGCATTTAAATAATCTAAAATTATAATGAAATCATTGAAAATGGACTAAAACCGTATACATTTAAATTTATGTATTTTTAAAATATTTAATGATATTACAAATTATCAATTCATTCAAATCAAAATATTTTTTAAAAGATAGACCAAATATCGAAACAAAAAGACTAGTGACCCACGATTTTAACACCATAATATATGAAATTTTCAATGAAATAATACTATATGGTTATAAATAGTCTAAAAAAATATATTAGGATATTTAAGGGGATCAATTTTTTTATTTTTCTTCTATTTTTTTTAAATTTTTTAGTATTTTTCAGTCAGGCTAAAAAACCGTCTGGTTTTCTAAAAACCATTCCAGTTCCCGGTCCAACTCCGGTTCCCGGCTTAATAACGGCTCAACTTCGGTCCAATCCGGCTCAACTATGTGAACGGTTTTTTGATCCTAATCGAGCCGTTAACGATTCCGGGTGACGATTCAACCGGTCCGACTGTTCGGTTCGGTCCGGTTCTTTAATCATTGCATTTAAGTGAACATTATTTTTAAATAAATTTCTTGGATTTTTATTAGTTGTCAATTCCTCAAGTGCTTTTGAGTTTTGACTTTTGAGTCTTTGAGAAAGCCAAAATGAAAAACATGACATTGCGCAATTAAAAAAAAAAGTACTCCTCCGGTCCTAATTATAAGACCCAATTGACTTATTTGAGGAGATTAAGGAAGTAAGTTAAATTGGTTATTTATAATAAATAAGTGTTGTCATTCCTAAAATATCCTTGCTAATTAAGTATATTGGCTAAAACTATCATTATTAGAAGGATTATCTTTAAAAAAAATGCATAAATATAAGAGACAAAATGGATTGGGTCTTATAATTAGGACCAAAGAAAAAGTCAAATTGGGTCTTATAATAAGGACCGGAGGAGTATTATTCTTCTTGTTTTCTTACTCCTTGCCATTACAAGTGAAACTAAACTGAGTACTTTGCTGAAGTTTATGACGAAATAATTGAGAAATTAAATTAATTGTACGATAATTTTTGAAGAATTCATGGACACATTATGAGGAAAATAAATATTTGAAAGAGCATATCAAATTTGACGTGTTTACAGAGACAAAAGTAAAATTGAAAATTAAAACTATCATCAAGTCAATCATAAACCAAATTTATTTTCCACTTGTCATTGTGAATGTGAAATGTAATTAATAAACGATTCAGTATTAAAACTTTTTGTGTGGGTGGTAAGGCATTGTTTGGTTGGAAGGTTTTTGGAGGGAGGGGAGGGGAGGGGAGGGGAGGGGATGGGAAAGGAAGAAAAATTGTGTTTGGCTCAGAAAAATGAAAGGGACGGGAGGAAATTTTTTTTTGTCATTTAGTGCTCTCCTCCCCTCTTTTTGCTCCCCTCTAAATTTGGGGTTTTTTGGAGGGGAGAGAAATATTATACATCATTTTGACTAAATTACCCATGTCAGTTTTTTAATATTTCAAGTTTATCCTTTTTAGTAAAATTTTTTTTTAACTCTTTGCTTTGTTTTACTCTTTTTTCTTTTCAGACCCTATTATTCTTCTACGGATTTTTTTTTACTCCTCGAAAGTTCTTTTTTTCCCTGCATATTTTCTTTCTCTGATTTCATCATTTCTCACGTTCTCTGCCATTAACCTTCCATATCTTTTCCTCTTGTCTTATCCTTCATCTCATTCATCTCAATTTTATTTTTTTACACAAAATTCTGTGTATTATCTAATTAAATATGTGAGGTTGCGCATGTTATGTAATTAAGGATAGAATAGTTCAAAACTTATAGCATAAATTTATTTATAATTTATATAATATGCTAAAGATTATAATTTTTTTATTGACATATATTTTGATATATGATTATTTATAATCTATTTGTTATGTTTCAAAGTATCTGGTTTTTTTTATATTCACAAATTAGAAAATAATAATTATGATATAAATATCATAATAAAATAATAAAGAAATCTAAATAAAGAGGTAAGGATATATTTGTCAACTTATAATTAGCTCCCCTCCCTTCCCCTCTTAAACCAAATAAGAAATCTCTCCTCTCTTCTCTTTCCCTCCAACCAAACAAAACTTATAGGGAAAATGACATTGAGGTCCCACAGAAGCAAAAATACAGCAAAAAGGTCCCCTGAAATCCCATAATTTTTCTGAAGTCCTAAAGGGACTTAGATGCAATTTTCAGAATCTGAAAATTACCCTCTTGCCCTGGACCTGTTATCAGAAAAAGAGACGGGAGAAGTTCATTTGGTGAGGATTTCCTGCGCAAAATTATCATGGTGAAGCTTCTGTAAATGCGAGGATTTCCATGGGTGAAGAAGATGTTGAAGCTTGACAAATCTTCAGGTGTGGAACTTTCTTTTCTCTCCTCTCCTACCTTTCTTGACAGATTGTGCATTTATTTGGGAATGGGAAATGAAAAAATCGTTTTTGCCTTTGATATTTCAAAGCTTTTGTTTTTGGTTTAGGATTCAGAATTTAATGAATGGAAAAGCTGTGTTTTTGGTTGGTGTGTGTTGTGATTTAAGTTGGGTGTGTAGAATGATAATGGGTGCTCTGTTTTTGGGTGGTTTTCCTCTGTTCTGACGTTAGTTTAGTGGCAAAGGAAGAAAAAGATGAAGGTTAGTGAGGGTAGAAACCCTTAGCACGAAATGGGACTGTGTTGTCAATCAGGCCGCGATTGTTGTCAATGTGTGCCGCTATACTTGTCAATGTAGCTCCTTAAGTTGTCAATGACAGTTGCGTGCTTCTTGATGCAGGTTTAAGTTACTGATGACAAGTGCGTCTGGAAAACATCTATTTTGCTTTGTTCACATAAGGGGAAAGTTTATAAATGATGGAGAAGATAATATGAGATATGTGGGAGGTAGTGTAAGAACAACCAATGTAAAGGAGGGCACAAGTTATGAAGAATTGAAGGAAATTATATCATCAATTGCTGGAAAAGAAAGCAACTCATTTCTTCTGAAATTCTCAGTTGTGCAACCCCTGTGTTTTTTTGGGATGGGTTGTGAAATAGGTGTAATTTCATGTATATGAAGGTGTAAATGAAAGTTGACTATGAATTGACATGTTAGATTCTGCTGTCATTTAAGTTGTCATACCTGCACCCTGTATTGTCATTAGACCTGTTATGACTTATCAATAGAGCACTGTCACTTGTCAATTAATTTACTGATGTAAGTTGTCAACAATATGAATTCAAGTTACATAACTTGTTTTAGTAACATATGATATTTTCAATCACTCTGTCATATTATATTTTTGGTTATTTGTCATATATAATCATTATTAATGAAGTGTCAATGGTGGCACTGTGACTTGTCAATGGTGGCATAGTGACTTGTCAATCATGTCCTTAAGATTTGTTAATGGCGGCGCTATGACTTGTCAATGGTGGCACACGGACTTGTCATTGGTGGCAATGTGACTTGTCAATGGTGGCACACGGACTTGTCATTGGTGGCAATGTGACTTGTCAATGGTGGCACTGTGACTTGCCAATGGTGGCACACTGAGTGGATTTTGAGCACCACGGTGGATTGTTAAAGTTACAAAAATGAGGTTGAATAGTTGATATGCCTTGCTTGGAGTTCAAAGTATTTGTG